AGAACACTGCTTGTGATCAGCTGCCACCTGGACACAGAGCAATTGACCACAATCCTCTGTCTATGGCCACCCAGTCAATTTTTTATTCAGTGCACAGTCAACTCTTCAAATTCCCATCTCTCCAATTTAAAGATGAGGATATGATGCAGGACTACATCAAAGGCCTTGCACAAGACCTGGTAGACAACATCACTTCAGCATAGAAGGCCACCAGATCGGTGACAGAGTCACAACGTCCCACTGGGAGTGCTTAAGTGCATCCTGGGATAACTGGTCTGTGAGGGCGCTATTCTAGATGTTTTTAATGGCAAAAGGATTGAGAGGCTTTGAGGCTTGCAGCTAGTTTCTGCAGGACATGATGTTTTTCCCCATTTGCCATGGAGCAAGAGGCATTCCCAAGGCAATGCAACCCGCAGGCTTCTGCGGCACTCTGCTCCTCTTCAGGACAACTCATAGCCCATGGACACTGGCCAGAGGTTCTTCCTTGCCTTTTACAACAGCATTTCGTGCCTATGCTTGTAGGAACTGGTAGTTCTTAAAAAGCTGCATGAGATCTAACATAGGAGGACAGGAAAACTATGTTCTTTTCTGTTTATAATGACTGCCCTGCAATTCCATTATGACCCCATGGAGCTCCATAGTAATACCTGAGCTGTTCCACTGTGAACCCATAACAGTTCTCTTGAGACCCCATAGAGCTTCTTAGGTACCTGAGAACAGTTCCATAGACCCCTCGTGGAGCTACATAGTGTCCCCATAGAGCTGCAGAGTGACCCCATAACAGTTCCATTATGATCCCTTAGAGCTCCATAGTGTAGCCCTAGAGCTCCATAGAGACCCTATGGAGCTCCATGGCGATGCACAAACAGCTCCATTGCGACCCCATGGAGCTCCATAGTAATCCCTGAGCTGTTCCATTGTGACCCCATCACAGTTCCTTTGTGACCTCATAGAGCTTCTTAGGGGCCTGAGAACAGTTCCATAGACACCCCATGGAGTTTCATAGTGACCCCATAGAGCTGCTTAGTGACCCGAAAACAGTTCCATTATGACCCCATGGAGCTCCATAGTGATCCCATAAAAGTTTCAATGTTACCCCACGACTGTTCACTTATGACCATAAGAGTTCCACAGTGATGCCATAGAGCAGCACAATGACACAATAGAGCTCCATAATGACCCCAAAACACTTCCCATGTGACCCCATTGAGCTCCGTAGGTTCCACAAAATAGATCTATTATGACCCCACAGAGTACTATAGTGACCCCATAAAGCTCCATAGTGACCCCCTAAATTTTCCATTGTTACCCCTTAACAGCTTCTTTATGACCATATAGAGCTCCGTAGTGACCTCACAGAACTCCATAGTGACCCCACAGAGCTCCAGGGTGACCCCATTCATGTTCTATTCGTACCCCAGAGCAGCTCCATTATGATCTCCAGAAGAGACAGGCCAAAACAGGCATACCTACTTTGGTAAATTTAAAAGGAGAACTGGCTTCAACAGATGAAGAGAAAGCTGAGGTGCTGAATGAGTTCTTCACCTCGGTCTTCACTGGTGGCCAGGATTCTAGTCTTTTTCATGTCCCTGAGCCCTGCATCCACAAACCTCTATGTGGGGACCAAGGTGGTAAATCCCTCCCCACTGTAAGGGCAGAGCAAGTCCGAGAGTGCCTCCTTAGACTGAATGAATACAAGTCTATGGGGCCGGATGGCGTGCATCCCAGGGTCCTGAAGGAGCTGGCTGAGGTGGTTGCCGAGCCGCTCTCCATCATATTTGAGAAGTCGTGGCTGTCAGGTGGGGTCCCGGATGACTGGAGGAAGGGTCATGTCACTCCCATATACAAGAAGGGGAGCAGGGAGGACCCGGGGAACTACAGGCCGGTGAGTCTCACCTCCGTGCCTGGGAAGATCATGGAACAGATCCTCCTGGACAACATGCTCGATCACATAAAGAATGAGCATGTGATCCGAGACAGCCAGCACGGCTTCACCAAAGGAAGGTCATGCCTAACTAATCTTGTGGCCTTCTATGATGGAGTGACGGCATTGGTGGACGAAGGGAAGGTGACCGATGTCATTTACCTGGACCTGAGCAAGGCCTTTGACATGGTCCCCCACCACATCCTCATCTCCAAATTGGAGGGAAGTGGATTTGATGGGTGGACGACCCGATGGATAAGCAATTGGTTGAAAGGCCGCAGACAGAGGGTGGTGGTCAATGGCTCTATGTCCAAGTGGAGGCCAGTAACAAGTGGTGTCCCCCAAGGGTCTGTCTTGGGACCAGTGCTCTTTAACATCTTTATTAATGACATCGATGAGGGAATTGAGTGCACCCTCAGCAAGTTTGCTGGCGACACCAAGCTGAATGGTGCGGTTGATACGGTGGAAGGAAGGGATGCCATTCAGAGGGACCTCGACAGGCTGGAAAGCTGGGCTCGGGTGAACCTAAATGAGGTTCAACATGGCAAAGTGCAAGGTTTTGCATTTGGGCCGGAAGAACCCCAGGCACCTGTACAGGCTGGGAGGAGCGGTCCTTGAGAGCAGCTCGGCAGAGAAGGACCTGGGGGTCCTGATGGACGAGAGACTGAACATGAGCCAGCAGTGCGCTCTGGCAGCTCGAAAGGCAAATGGGATCCTGGGCTCCATCAGGAGAGGGGTGGTCAGCAGGGACAGGGAGGTGATTGTCCCTCTCTACTCAGCTCTTGTGAGGCCCCATCTGGAGTACTGTGTCCAGGTGTGGAGCCCTCAGTACAAGAAAGACAGAGATTTTGGAAAGGGTCCAGAGGAGGGCGACTAAGATGATCAGGGGGCTGGAGCACCTCCCCTATGAGGACAGGCTGAGGGAGTTGGGCTTGTTCAGCCTGGAGAAGAGAAGGCTGCGGGGTGACCTCATTGCAGCCTATCAATACCTGAAGGGAACCTACACCCAGGAGGGGAGTAAACTCTTCAAAAGGGCTGACAATAGCAGGACTAAGGGAAATGGATCCAAGTTGAAGGAGGGAAGATTTAGGTTGGATGTTAGGGGGAAGTTCTTTACAAGCAGAGTGGTTAGGCCCTGGAACGGGCTGCCCAGGGAGGTTGTGGATGCCCCGTCCTTGGACATGTTCAAGGCCAGGTTGGATGGGGTCCTGGGCAACCTGATCTGAATGTGTATGTTTGGTGGCCCTGCTAGGCAGGGGGGTTGGAACTACATGATCCTTGAGGTCCCTTCCAACCCGGGTGATTCTGTGATTCTGTGATCTGTGTGACCATAAGAGCTCCATAGTGACACCATACAGCTGCACAGTGACCCCAAAACAGTTCCATACTGACCCCACTGAGCTTCTTAGTCAACCAATAATGATTCTTTGGAGACTCCATGGAGGTCCAAGGTGCCCCTATACCAGGAACATTATGACCACATAGCAGCTCCATGGTGACCCCATTGAGCTCCATAGTGGCCCCATAACATTTCCATCCTGACCCCCTAGAGCTTGAGAGTGACCCCACAGCAGTTCCGCTATGAGCCCATCGAGCTTCATATGACTCCTTAGCAGTTCCCTTGTGAGCCCATCGAGCTTCTTAGCGACCTCAAAAGAGTTCCACAGACCCCCCGTGGAGCTCCATAGTGTCCCCATAGAGCTGCAAAGTGACCCCATAACAGTTCCATTATGACCCCTTAGAGCTCCATAGTGTTGCCCTAGAGCTCCATAGAGACCACATAGAGCACTATGGTGACCCCAGAACAGTTCCATTATGACCCCATGGAGCCCCAGAGTAATCCCTGAGCTCTTCCATTGTGTCCCCATCACACTTCCCTTGTGACCTCATAGAGCTGCTTAGGGACCTGAGAACAGTTCCATAGACACCCCATGGAGTTCCATAGAGTTCCCATAGAGCTGCCAAGTGACCCAAAAACAGTTCCATTATGACCCCATGGAGCTCCTTAGCAATCCCTGTGCTGTTCCATGGTGACCCCATCACAGTTCTCTTGTGACCCCATAGAGCTTCTTAGGGACCTCAGAACAGTTCCATAGACACCCCACGAGATCCATAGTGACCCCATGGAGCTGCCTAGTGACCCCATAATAGTTCCCTTGTGACCCCATTGAGCTCCGTAGATTCCACATAACAGAGCTATTACGACCTCAAAGAGCTTCATAGTGACCCCATGAAACTTCCGTTATGACCCCATGGAGCTCATACTGATCTCATAAAAGTTCCATTGTTACCCCATAACACTTCCCTTATAACCATAAAAGTTCCATAGGGGTGCATGGTGACACAACAGAGAGCCATAGTGACCCCATGACAGTTTCCTTGTGACCCCATTGAGCTCTGCAGGTTCCACATAATAGATCTATTGTGACCCCACAGAGTACCACAGTGACCCCATAAAGCTCCATAGTGACCCCATTGAGCTCTGTAGGTTCCACATAATAGATCTATTATGACCCCACTGAGTACCAGAGTGACCCCATAAAGCTCCATAGTGACCCGCTAAATTTTCCATTGTTACCCCTTAACAGCTTCTTTATGACCGTATAGAGCTCCGTAGTGACCTCACAGAGCTCCATGGTGACCCCACAGAGCTCCAACCAAATCCAACCAAGTTGAAACATGAGTTCAATGCCTTTAAATCAATGTAGCAAAAATAACTCTAGCCTGGAGACTCAGAAAAGTAAGTGAGACTGGAACACACCTTTAATTACTTCCATTTTTTTGTTCCTCAGCAGCATCAATAGGATTAAAATAGTTTCTCCCTGCTCTTCCCAGTGTGTCAGTAGGAACTGAGCAGTGGGACTGGTTGTGTGGCTCCTCAGACACAACAGCACCTCCGTTGGCTTCCTCTCCTCTCGCACAGCAGGCATTCTGTGCTGATTCGTCCTACTACAGCCAAAACAAGAGACACAACAGGTGGATTTCTTTTTTTGTCTCTGCTCTGTTCCTTTCTCTTTTTTTTTTTTTTTTTTTTTTTTTCCAGAGGAGATGCAGATGGCAGAGTCACTCCCTTTGAGATGCACAAACGTCTTGATGGAAAAACTCCCCACAGCTTGTGCAATTTTCTGAGCTGCTTTCTGCTCACCTCCACCTCCTCCTTTCCCTCTTTATCTGCTTTCTGTATTCTCCATGCTGCTATCGGTCCTGTGGAAATGAACACATCAAAGCCACAAGCAGTCATTTTTTTCTACTGCTCCCGTGTCCTTTCTCTCTGCTCTTCCTTAAGCATTAATATTAATAGCCACTGTACCTTTCTTCACCGTTGCTTTCTTCTTGATCCTCCTGGGAGTAAGCCTTTTCTTGGACTTTCTGCTACACCGAGTGCTTGTTTGAAGGAAGGCTGGTGCATGCTGGGAAGCACAATGTCAGTGATGCCTGTGATACAATATTGGGCCAAGCAGCAAAGATATTAAACTCTATTGTACTCACTGGAGGAGTCAAGCACACTTTCATCCTTACCACATAGATCTGTTTTCTTTCTTCTTGTTTTCCCAGCAAAAATAGCTTTTTAATCAATCCAAAATCTCCAAGGAAAGGGGAAAACAAACAAACAAACAAACAAAACATCATACAAAGCTCTTTCCCATTCCCTCCTTGATGCTTTTCCACAGGGCTGCTACCTGAAGACCAAAGGAGCAAGTGCACTTTCACTCTCATTGTCTAAACCAAACGTGCACACATAAATACACGCTACGGGGACATGCAGCACCTGCTCCCCCCCCGGCTCTGCTGTTATTTAAATCGTGGTGTTAACGAGCTCCAAGCCCTTCAAGGTTGCAGCCAGCTATCGGTCCCTGGGGCAGCCAGCTGAGCATTGAGTGCGTGCGTCAGCCCTGCTCTCCATTTGTATTCTGCAGTGCGGGCGCTTGTCTGGAGCGCGAGGAAGAAATCCCCCAGGTTTGATTTCACTCACAGACGTATAATGGAAATACAGCAGCGTGCCAAGTGTGACGCTTCTGTTCTGTGGGGGCCTGCTGTAACCCACGGCCGAGGCTGTACTTCGGGTTGTGGTGGTGTCTAAAAGGCAGAAGGTGAATTTCTCAGTGTTGTCACAAAGAACAAGGGCTGTGGTAAAATTGGAATTCACTGTGACCCTTGCAGTGAGTTATTCCGGTGATGCTTTGTGCCTGCATAATATGTGGATGTAAAGGTTATGATGTGCTATCTTGTCACTCAGGGCCACCCTGTTTGCATGAAGGCTCCCCCCAGAGTGCACAGCATGGCACTCAGGTGAAAATTCCTCACCCTTCTTTGTCAGCATCTACTGCAGCTGGGCACATCAGCAAGGAGCTGCAGATTGCACAGAGACAGGTCAAGCTCCTCTTATGGCTGCTCTCCAGCGATATTCAAGACCCATCTGGGCACCTACCAGTGCAACCTACTATAGGGAACCTGTTTTAACAGGCAGTTGTTTCTTTTAACCCCTGCAATCCTATGATTCTGTGATAACCTTTTCAGAGACTAAAAAGCCTCAGACAAGAAGAACCCCATGTCCAGCTGTGCCATTCTCCACTGGTCAAACCAGCACCATCGAAAACTGCTAATGGAAGAATAGAAGATTGCTCCAAAACACCGGATGGGAGAGTCTCGCTATAATTGTATTGTTTATTGTTAGTGCTAACAAACAAAAGGAGGTGGGAGGATCTATTTGCTTGCCGTAAATAACCACCAGCTGGATGATTTAAAGTATATATAACAGCTGTGTAATCTAATAGAGACTCCTTGTGTTTGCAAACATGCAACCTAAACAAAGTTTCAGGCAGTGATGATGGGATACGTTTGAGATCTCTGCAGGATGCCTAATAGGAAAATTCAAATGAGGTCACATGCTTTGCTGCTTGTCTACAAGATTCTCCCAAAGGTCTCCCTGCTACCCTGGCTTATGAGCCTAATTAACCCTCCAAACCTCATTGCCAGGCATGGAATTTTAATTATTGGAATGTGTGGCTTACTTACCAGCATGTCAAACTCTTCATATCACACTCTGAGCACTGGAGCACTTTGCTTTGCACTTTATTCAGCATTGCAGGAGGTGGTCAGATACCCACACATGCAAAAATTCAACCCGGAGACATCAATTTGCAGACAGTCTTTGGACCAAGGGGGATCAAAATTTCCCTGGAGAGACTTGCAGATTTTTGCAGCTCTATAGAGCTGGAAGATTCAAGTCTGAGTTGTCATTAGATGTTTAAACTACTTCACAGGCATTAACTATGCCCATTTCATACACGCAATCCTACCTTAACCAGCTCCCCTGAGCCAGGAGGATGGTGTGTGAGCTTTTCTGCATATTCAGCTGGAAAGGGACAATCTGAGGAAGCTGCAATGCTCCCACAACTCCTTATACATTCCTCGCTAGGTAGCTTGAATTGTAAGAAAAATAAATGTAACCTCAAAAAAAAAAAAAAAAAAAAAAAAAAAAAAAAAAAATCCTTCCAGGAGCAGCAAGCTGTGCTAGGAATGTTGCCCTTTGCACTTGTATTTACAATGCACACTGAATTCCTTGCTACTCTGAGAACAGATGATGAGGGCATCTTCTCTTTCCCCATTGATCTCAGATAGATCACGCTCTGGCTTTTTCATAGCATGCAGAAGCCACAGAATTGGATAGGGAAGGACCCCAAACTGTCAGATCCTGAGTGGGTGCCATAGCCACTAGGTCAGCAGGCAAAGATAAGAAGTTGTAGGAGTCTCCCAGATACATGACCTTAGCTTAAGACAGTTCCAGGCTCTCCATCCCTGGAAAGACAAGCCAAGATGACAGTTTCACACATTCCTTTCATAGTTTGCTTCTTGGCTGACTTGGAGGACCCAGTATTCAGCACACTAGGTGTTGTAGATCCTGTGACTAAACATCCATTTCTTCCATCGTTTATTACACAGTGAATTTAGGAGTTATTCAGTAATGTACTGAATTTGCACAAATTTTACTGCACAGATTTTACAATACTGTAATTCCCAGAGCTGTGAGACGACGTGGAGGAGCTGCAACCTCAGCATCATCTCACAACACTGACATAATGCACTGTCTGTCAGAACTTCTCTCTTCTCTTAGAGAATTGTTTAGGTCGTCCATACATAGATGAGCGTGGAATTGGCAACCCTGCACATAGCAGGGAGGTTGAAACTAGATGACCGTTCTGGACCTTTTCAACCCAGGGCATTCTATGATTCTTTGATCTTTGTTCATTTGAATGGGCATCCCTTGGTACTGGAAATTACCCAATTGCTGGCCAGTAATGAGCTGTTAAAGAAAATAATCAAGTGTACTAGCACGGTCTTCAAAATGACCTGGAATAATCGGAATAAAAAGGATATCTTTTAGTGAAAAACTTAGCAAATGGCATGCCAGTTTCTTTTTAACAATTTCAGAGACCATGGCACAAATTTTGAGTGTATAGATGCTCAGAAGTTTCCTAAAGATGAACACTGCAACAATTTGACGTGTTTGTATTACGATAGTCTCTATGAACACTTGGTTCTAATGAAATGTTGACATCCAAACACAGTACCAATTTGTTGTATTCTATGGAATATCATTGTACATTCTGTTTACACCAGTTGATCAACCATTTATTTCATTTGTCCCATGTGTGCGCACTCCTAAATAAAGCATTTGCCTTAATTCAGGAGCTTGCATCCACAAATCTTACCTAGTGGGTGAATTTCCCTTTCTCAGATTCAGTTTCTGCAGATATAAAACAGGGATAATGATAATGACCTCCTTAGTAATGCCATTAGGGATTTACTAATAAGCTAATTATTATTAGGGAATAAAACTTTATGCGAGGAACCATTTATTAAAGCCTTCCCATGGCTTATTTGCACTCCAAAAGCGATTTATGAATGGAGCCTGAGAGAGAAGGTTGATGAAAAGTGCTGCAGTGCCAAAACATGAAATATCCAAAGCTCGTGGTCGTATCTCCAGCACACATGTTTGTATCAAAGAATAGACACATACAAACAGTATGTTACCTTTCTGTCCCCTTCAGCCTTCCTCAGCAAGAAGGAGCTGGTGAGTACTTCTTTATCTTTTATTTCAGGCAAAATATGGGATTCTTCTTTATTTAATATGATCACCAAAATGGGTGTGAAACATTATTCCTGCAGCTGTTTCTGCAGTGTTAAACCCATGGAAAACAAGGGAAAAGGAGGAATTGTGCTTAGAACACAAGGATATTGGGTGCAGATGAAGAGAGCTTCCTCATGGTGCTTGGACCACATTCGAAAGTATGAGTTTGAAGAATACTACATCATAGGTTTCATCTATCTCTGTCATTCTGCCAAAGGTCAGGTTTAAGTTTTACGATGGAATTTATTCTTTGGAATGAGTGTAACAGAGGTAGAAATCAAATCACTAAAAGTGATTCAACTGGTGTGAAATGGAGGGAAGAAATCTTTAGTCTATGATAGTGGTAAACAGTATATAAAACTTCATTCTTTTTTCCACCTTACTGAGCTTCTGCATGGGCAATCTGAAATGTTACTAATGTATTTCTTCTTATTTTCCCCTCTGTCTAGTAACCTCTATTTATCGGCTCTCCTGTCATGTGTGCCATTTAAACCTCTGCAGGGTTCTTAGCTTTCCCAGCTGCAAAATTTGCTTGGATTGCAAAACTTTGAGATCTGACTGAGTGCCAAATGTGGCTCTTTGGCTCCTACCATACCCTCAAATGAGGATTTTAACCATTTTCACTCCTAAAAATAGGTATTCATCACTGCAAATCACAGCAAGGTTACAGAGTAGAAAACATTTGAAGCTCTTTTCTTCCATAGTTCAACCGTTTGAAATGTCCAGAAAGAACTCTAAAGAGTGTTTTGTCATTGGTTGTAATGACCAGTGATACATGGATATGGCAAATGGACAAGTAGAAAAAGAATCATTATGTGTCAGGGATAATGATGATAGTAAATTCAATGTTTAGTCACGTGGCTAGACAAGATAACCAGGGTACTGTACGCCTGTTCTCAACCAACACTCCTTAACTGTCAGTTGCCATTGACAATTTCATACCCCCCGTGACACTACTGGGAGCCTCTTTCATATGTATAATTTCAGGGACTTTCCCAAATGGCAAGTGCAGAACATATAAGGAAGGGAATTACTGGGAAAAAAATCCTACTGAACTCTCATTTACTGTGGAAAAATATAATAAATCCTCTCTCTTCAAGTCCTCAAAGCTCTCTTCCCATGTGCATGGTAATCTGCTCCTGTTAATTTAATGGCAACCATGGTCAGGGGCACCAGCAGACAGAAAATTACGTAGCTGCAGCAATGAATAAAGTGGTACCAGTTCCAATCAGTACAAGATGTAGCCTCAAGTCATATAGGCCAAAGATGCATGAGTTCTTGCAGTCAGATGGCTGATATACAGACATAGGAAAGATGCTAGATTGTAGGTTTCATCCATCTCTGTCTTAAAGCTGAAGGTCAGGATCAACTTTCTTGTTTCTGATGTGGGACCAGAGGTAGAAATCAAGATTTTTGTGTA